ACTGTTTTAAACTTTAATAAAAACATTTTCAGACAGCAGGGGGAGTACCTATCATTACAGGCACCCCCCTGCTGGCACATGGCCCAGGGGGGCCGAAGAGGACGGAGGGGGACTCCCTGGGCTCCCAGGTGAAACCACATACCGCGATCACCGGCGACCAGGTAAGTAGAAAGGACGGTTTGGGCGTTCTATGCCGCCCTCCGGCGTTTAGAGCCGCTTCCTTAAGGACGGCATAGAACGCCCGCCGTCCTTAAGGGGTTAACAATTTAAATCAATATACTCCCCAAGAAAACATGCATGTATATTTTCCTTGTGAAATTGGCACTTTTGTAAATTGTCATAAATATGACAGACATTCTCTTGTTCGTTACTTTAAAAGGAGGACAAAGTAATTTTTTTTTTTTTTTGCAGACTATAAATGTAAATTAAAGACAAATTATATCCCCCGCATACACATACTTCATTGAGAAAGAGGAGGTATATTTGTGCAATAGACAGACTAACAATGGAAATAAATAAATAAAACTGTGTAATGCAATCCAATTACCCTCAACAACACAGCCACAATTACCTAATAAAATCAGCATTATATAAAATTAAAAAATTAAAGAACATATACCTTGATGGGAAGAGCAAGACCATCACTTAAAATACTAAGAAACAAAAATCTGAACGCAACAGAGATTGCATCCCTTTTTAAAGGGACTCTCCAGTGCGAGGAAAAGAAAAACCCCTTAAGTCACTTACCTGAATCCAGTGCGGCAATGCTTTCCTATGGGGATTTTGGCGACGCTAGAGGTCCTCATGCATAGCGTGAGGACCTCCAGAGTCATTTAAAACACTTTGTGTTTTAAGAGCACAGAAGTTCCTCTAGTGGCTGTCTGGTAGACAGCCACTAGAGGAAGACTTAACCCTGCAAGATAAATATTGCAGTTTATAAATAGTGCAATAATTACACTTTCAGGATTAAGGGTGATGGGAGTTGGCACCCAGACCATTCCAATGGGCAGAAGTGGTCTGGGTGCCTGGAGTGTCCATTTAAGTAACAACAGTGTTTAGCCCCTTTTAGTTGCGGTGCTACCTGTTTGGTCTACTTGTGATTATTTGTGGGGCTTCTCCTAGCTGTAATTCTATAGTTTGGGGATTTTTACTTCCCGTCATTTCTGATAACTTCTGTTTGTGCATTTCCTCTCTTCAATAAAACTCTTGAAACAAAAACAAAACCTCCAAAAAAGACCTTAAACATAAGTGAAATTCTATTCTTATAGAACAGTTGTTTTTTTTTTTTTATATCAGCACAAGGTTTAAATCCCAAAACTGCATAATCATATCTATAGCAGATAAAAAACAAAACAAAAAAAAACTGGAGATGAATTTACATACATGTGATTTTATCATGCTTAGCCACCACTACCCTAACTATATCCCTTGTTGGTGAGACCTAATTTAATACATGTGATATTAAACATGTAATCTGTATTACTTACAAAGGACATCCTCTCTGCTTTGTATGTATGCTGAAACTCTCCTTCAATTTCCCATTGCCAGGTGTAGCACCCCTCCCAAAACACAGGTGCATAAAAGAGTATAATCTGTAGAAGAGCCTAGGAGGATTAACTACTTAAAGTCCATTGATGGAATGTGTCCATCAGAACAAGCCAACATTCTGTATTAAAATACAGCCTCCATCAATTTATTGGAGATAGATTTGCACAGAGTTACTGATCCTAAATAAACAGTATATTTTGTATCAGCCTATAAACTTTAAAGGGACAATCCGGGCACCAAAACAACTTCATCTAAATTAAGTTGTTATGGTGCCAGGAGGCCCCTGGACACACTCTTATCTTAAGGGGTTAAACCGTTCACAAACGGTTTAACCCACTGAGGTAAGAGGGCATCCAGGGGCATCCTGGTACCATAACAAGTTAATATACCTGAAGTTGTTTTGGTGCCTGGGGTGTCCCTTTAACCCCTTAAGGACACATGACATGTGTGACATGTCATGATTCCCTTTTATTCCAGAAGTTTGGTCCTTAAGGGGTTAAGGAGCAGATTGCAATGGCAGCATTAAATAAACTTGACATATCCACAATATTCTGCTTTACTGGACATGCAATTCTTATATGTAATGAGGAGAACTACAATTAAAAGTATGTATGTAGAATGGACATGCTGCATGTAGGAAATCAAGTGATATGTCAATGAGGAATCCCTCAGTATATGATTTCTATATACTAAAGGGCAGCACATTTCATGCATTGTGCAAGAAAATAAATACATAAAAACCAAAGTAATCAGTGAGAACAGTAAGGAATTTTAAGTGATTTCAAAGTGAATTTCAAACTTAAAGGGACACTATAGTCACCCAGACCACTTCAGCTCAATTAAGTGGTCTGGGTGCCAGGTCCCTCAGGTTTTAACCCTTCAGATGCCGTTTCAGGGAAACTGCTATGTTTACATTTGGGGTTAATCCAGCCTCTAGTGGCTGTCTTCTTGATAGCCACTAGAGGTGAATTTCGCCTCCATCATGCAGAGCATCCATAGGAAAGCATTGAGAAATGCTTTCCTATGGACACTTTGAATGCGCGCGGCATGCAGAGCGTGGAGACCCTGGTTTGATTCAAATGCATCTCTATGAAGAGATGCTGGTTGACCAGGGTGGCGTTTGGCTCTGCCCACACCCAACCTGCTTGGCTGTAATCAGAATTGACAACATGGGACATGGGAAAACATTGTGATTAACTGAGATTATCAAGTCTGATGTCAGCCAAGGAGGCAGATCAGGGCGGCGCCAGACGCAAGGATCCCCATGCAGTGCTGGAAAAAGGTAAATCACCTTTCTACCAAGCGGTAAGGGAAACTGACCACCTAAACAGTGGTTTTTGCTCATCTTTTCTCCTACACATCGCTAGATTCGCTGTAGTTGGCCCTGCCTCTGTGGCTGAGATCATCCGTTTTGAGGAGCACGTCTATTTTCGGGCAAAAGGGGATGTGTGACCATGCACAAATTTGAACAATTGTATTGAAGAATGTTTTTTCATTTTTGTGAACTTACATATACCCCCATTGATATACGCTGATTAAAAAAAACAGGAGAAAAAAAACCAAACACTGTCCTGAATGGAGATAGTTAAAACATAACTTTTAATCACAAAAAAATCACATCTAGCAGTAATTACACCTCTATACTTAGAGCTAGACACTGACACTTTCATTCCGTCTGTCTGCAGTGACATTTCTATCAATGTCAACCAATTTAATACCTTTTTAACTCCACATACTATCTCTCTATAATCCCTTTATATGTATATGGGCTTTCTGAGAGTAAGTTTTTACATTACACACTATTAACTGATTTTAAAAAATAAATACATTTGTGATTAAAAGTTGTTTTAACTATCTCCATTCAGGACTGTGTTTTTCTTCTGTTTCTATATTCCTAATTAGGGTTAACCCCTTCACTGCCCTATAGATTTCTTTCTATAGTAAGCTTCCATTCTGTTAATTTTCTAAAAAAATAAAAATAAAGTTAAAAAAAAAAACAATGCAATTAATGTGCTAACAAAATACAGTATTTTTTTTTTGTGTTTGTTTTTATATAATATTTAAGTTTCACTGTACGGTATGCAAGAAGAAGAAAACATTACATGAAGTTATACAGCTAAAACAGTACAAGAACAAACAAGGAATAAAGGTGTAGTAAGCCACACCACATGTAGGAAAGGATCCAGCAAAATAAATTGTTCGAAATTAACATTGAACTCCAAATACATTCATTACCCCAGCATCAGTGGGGATGACACTTTTCCCCTCAGTGTTGTCCCTTTTCTGATTTCTATATTCATTTCTAATTGTATCCACTCCCCATTGTTCATGGATATGGTGTGGAGCTGTTTGAGCTAGTGGACCTCAATGGTGGGTATTAGTAGTAGTAGATAGGCTAACAAGTAGGGACGTGTTGATCAGTGGGTAGCAATGTAAGGCTGAACAAGTGTCTAACTGGGTTATTCACTAAGGTTCACAAGGTTAATTTAAAATATAAGGTTGAAGCAGCCAGACTGCAAAATATCTAAGTCACTTTGGCAACTATGGCTTAAATATAAAATTATCTTTAAAAATTAATGTGAAGGTCTCATTTTAGAAAATAACCCTGTATGAAAGTGAGGTTAGGTTGCGGAGCAAGTAAGTAGGAGGTGTAGATCAGAGAAGTGAAGTGAGACGGAGCACATCGGTCATGGAGAAACAGAATTTGAGAATGGGAATAGATGAGGTATGTGGTGTTGGGAAAGTGGGTATGTGTGTGGGGCTGATGAGGTGGGCATGAAGCTGGCACGTAGATATGAATATATTCCGCTAGTGCAGCTTTAAAGATGAATAAAAGTATGGGTAACGATGTAGGGCTGGGTTTTTACTTTGCTTCTATTAAGTATATGAACCCCTCCAACCCTACACACAGTTTAGAGAGGACACTTATCTGTCTTCCCTGGTTACTAGAAAGTTTGAGACCCACAAAAAGGTAGGTCCATCTCACAAAATCCTGAGGGAAAAAAAAGCTTTTCCCCCAATAAAATGAGATTTACCTACCCTTGAACCCCATGAAGGTTTTTTTTCCCCAAAAAAATTCCCACTCTGCTTTCAGTATGTCCCATGTTTGGATCAGGAGAACCATATTTGTCAACTTTCCCCAATTATTTTCCAATAACCAGCACTGCTTTCCCCAGTAAGAGTCTATGGAAAGTGTCTTGCAAAATTTGCCTTTGTATATAAATTATATTACAATTGAAGAATTGGTCACTAAGCTAATATTACAACATAAAAATTGTTAACCAGTATAATGCCACGTAAAATTAGGATTCCTATCAAACAAGTACTATTTAGGCATTACCCATTTGAATAAAAATATGAGCCTTGGAATTAATGAATGCTGGAAACCAGGAGAATTTAAAATATTAATATCTTTATTTACAAATGTACAGAGTTTCACAGAAACATCATTTGCAAAAACACAAGTCTCCTAAATCAAAATCACAAATGTTTCCCAGTCAGCTTTATAAAGCATGTTCAACACTTCTCTCAATATTCTACAAAATTAAAAAAAAAATATATGTATATTTATATATATTTATCATCTAAATATAAACCTAGGTGTTAAGTGAATTGTTACAAAGAGTAGCTTTAAACAATGCAAGACAAACACCCTAAAACACATTGAGCTTTAAGAAAGGGTCTTTTGAGAACAGTAGAGTTCAATAGTTTTCCAGCTGTTGCTATGTAGTTCTAAAAACAGCTGGAAATCTGTTGATTACCCCTAATCTATTTTCCATGCTAACAAGTTCAATTTCTTGCAAATTTTGTAGCAATTTGAATATCAAATTTTTAGACAAACACTTTAAGTGCCTTTCCGATTTGGATATTACGTCTTCTTCTGGACTGTATACAACATCCACTTTAACAGGTTTGAAACCTCATCATAAAGTATAATCCCTGTCACATACACACAAAAAAAATTAAAAAAAAAAAAAAATACACACAAAAAAAATCTGTATTCCTTGATAATTCTGTATACAGTGTTTTGAACAAGGGACTTCAGTCAACGCAAAAGAATCACAATTTTCCTATTCTTTATAAACCAAACTTCCCAAATAATCTCATATTGCCATTATACCCCTCAAGCCAGGAAGATGGACAACGCATTTCTCAAACAAGTCTGACACAGTTGGTTTCCGATAGAGCGCAAAGCCAGCAGAAAAAAAAAAAAGCCTAGGTATTGACTCTAAACAACCACATATTAGTAAGCGATCTTTTTAAAAGATATGTCACAAATATTTTTAAAATGTTAATGTCATTATCTAAAACAAAACAAAAGCCTCATTGCATAGTAGCAGTTTAATAAATTAATTTTGAAAAACTGTGGTGGCAGCGGACAGAACACATTTGTCTATATTTTTATTTCCCTATATCTTTGAAATGGTGGGTGAAATGTTTTAGGACCAAAATATTAAATCTGTTTTAACGCTTGTAAAAGGATAACAGTGGGTGTTAGAGAGGATGGAATAGATTCTCACGTGTTTTTTGAAGCTCATATAAATCCAAACTAAATTCATTAAAGAGGTGGCTTTGTACCTTAATTGAAAATTTTGTAAGAGAGGACAAGTTATCTTTTTAACGTTCATACATTCTGTATTAGGACATGTGAGTGGGTTTAAAACGATATTGGCTCTGGGAGCAAATCACAATAATGTCCTAGGTCTAAAGTGGAGTACTTTAATATAATGCAAGTAATCATGTGCACTAATGGTTCTTATGGGATCAAAACCATTACAGAGCTAAAAGAGAATCTACCAAAGAGGAATATTGGTAATTTAGAACCTTCATCCACTCGTGAGCTACCACATAATTCATAAATATCTTGTTTTTGTTTTTGATATATCTGTCATAGTGTGATGTAGAACAAGATTTGATGACATATGTTTCCATTTGGTTCCTTTTATGTATGCACGATCCCCACCCCTTTAAGTGCTGTCAGCAGATACATTGGTTTAAATTTAGTTACTACAGATAACCATACATGGAGGTTTTCTCAAAAGGATACATCTAATTTAGAGTCAAATTCTGACATAAGAATGGCAACATCTTGCCATTTGTAGCTTTTTTTGCCTGTAGGGCCAGAGAGATAATAATTGTAAATTATATCAAAATGGCTAATTTGACTCAAAACAGATCATCGTAGATACAACTACATCATACAAGGCTACTTTTGAATCTGATTTTATGAAGGTGATGCCAATTGTCGCTTTTGATATAAGTGACTACTAGAGTAAGGAATAGGGATGTAGTGTCCCTTAAAAACCTTCAACATGTCAGGGCTCTACTTATGACAATGGCTTTGCCTAACTCTGGCTCTAAAGGGGATAGATCTATAATTTACCCATCTGACAGTGAAATGTGACAAGTGCGTGCTAGACCACAAAATACTTGGTATGGCAATCAGAAAGTGAATGGATCTTATAAATATAACATTTATGATGTGTAGACACAAATATCCGGGGTACCAACTGCACTCAAGGTCAAATGTTTCCAAGTTATATGGGTATTGGGAGTATATCAATAGCAAATGGAATGCCAGAGTGTGTTTCTGTTACAGTGCAATCAATAATAACATGTAGTAATGGGTAGTTATCACAGTACAAATCCACTGCATTAAATACTATTCCTGCAATAGAGAGAGAAAAAAAAAAAAAAGAAAAAAAAAATTATATAATTTTAATCAAAAATCTAATCCTAAAAAAAGGATAATTGAAATAAAAAAAATAAGTCACCAAGTGCCAACATCTGATCTATAATACCCCAGGCAGCAATATACAATTTCTATCAGACTAAGGGACTGTAAGTGGCGTATTCGTGTTTTACTCAGTGCTATTTAAATGGTGTGTGTAGATTAGTACAGGATGTAAAATATACCCAGCATCTCGATCGACCCTTGGACACAGGGTAGCCACAGACGCATGGTGTACCCCTGAACTTTTGGGTAGAATCTTCAATAATTTATCCTGGATTCCTGTGCTTTAAGGATAAAGTATACGGTGTGAAGAACAACGAACATGAAGCCTTCGTGCAGCTACTCTGTATCCAGAGCTGGACACAGATAGAATATCCATTAATCAATACATCTGCTAACCATTCTGCAAGCACTGTGTACAGATATGGATGTCAGAAGTCATGCATTGAAATGTCTCATTATCAAACATTGAAAGGAAGAGCGGCTTACCAATCAAATCAAATCAAAATGTTTGAACAGTGCAGGGAGATTTTAATACCTAAATAATAAAGGTTTAAGCTCGGCATGTAAAACAAATAATGGAGGGGGAAAATAAATAAATCTCCCTGCTTCAACTGTGCCCTGTTAATCATCAAAAGTTTTTTTTTTTTTTAAAAGACAATCTCTCTGTGGAAAAGGAAAAAAAAAAAAGGAAAAACAACAAATACAAGATACGAAATAAGTAACTTTTTGTCTGAATCACAGCATCATGTGATTTTCTGTATTTATTGAAACTTGAGAAACCTGCATCTTATCTTGGCCACTCCCCCCCAAAAAATAACAAAATAAATAATACATATATATTATATAAAAAACAAAAAATAACTAAACAAACTATTTTTCTTATTAGTATTGATTCAAAGACAATGCAGGATTTAGAGATAAAACTATTGTGTGCTAGAACATTCAAATAAACCGGAAATTATTATTAATGGGTTTGTCCTTACAACCTTTCAGAATATTTCCTTGACCAAAATTTTGTTTATTTTGTTTCTGCTGGTTTCTGTGTAAACAAAGGGATGATCACTTCAAACAGAAATGCCTCGGGATATTGCCCCTGCTGCCACTAAAAGATCGTACCAAAGCATTTTTAAAAATGGTGAATTTTCGAGTGGCAGACTTCAAATTGGAAGGAAAAACATAAAAATTAAGAAAGCAGACGGACAAAAAACAAAAAACAAAAAAAAAACGAACATAATGAAACTTTGGACTTCTTTTCAGATTATTCCAGCTAATTCTGAAACCTTTATAATCTCCAATCTGGGCATTAACGAAACAAAATTATTTAAACAATCATAGAAATTTGTGCCCAGGTAAAACATAAATATGTCTTTCTGTATTTTTCATTTTGAAAAAAAAATAAAAAAGTATCTTAGATAAAGTTTTGTTGCACGGTAACATAGATTTGTGTGCTTTTATATTTTAAAGTGTGTCCATTCCTGCACAGTCATTAGGATTCCTGCCTCCTAATCAGTCCAAGAATAATTTTCTACAGCCCATACGTGAGCGGTTTGATCGGCGGATGTCGAATTTGGTGTCTCGGCACTTTTGGCAAACGTAGATCTCAGGAACATTAGATTTACGAATTTTGGCACAGGAGAGGTGAATCCAAGTATTACATTCATTACATTCAATCATGGGCCTCCCAGCAAATGGCTTCATGCAAAAACAGGTCACAAGGTGCCACGATTCATCATCTGCAAGTATGAAACAAAAAAAAAGTCACTTATACTAGAGTCACAAATGTATGTGTTTTATATAAACTGTAGTTTTGCTGATCATCTGTGTTGCAATAAAGGAGATATATATATATATATAAAATGCACCTTTAAACAAAAATAGCTATTGCTTATTTTGTGAGTTGATCTGAAAAGTCTAGTACAATACAACAGATACTGTGTGGAATACGTTATATTGGATATATGTTATGCCTTAGCTGCGGCTGATCTTTCAAATACTGTTAGTTTTATGTGGCAAACAGTTTCTAGACAGGTTGTGCTGTACTGGTGATTATCATTTCTGTTAATCACCATTAAAAATAATAATAAAGTATAACTGGTAACAATACATAATTAACATTTTTCGTATAACAGAGAAGCAGGTACTTTAACACATAAACAGGAATCAGATTCCTGAGCAAATACCAGATGACTTTAGCAGAGATAGGAATAATAGCTCTCCACCTCTAGATAAATATGTACCGGTCCGAAGGATTACGGTTTCCATCATGATTAGACGTTTACAGATTACAAGAGTGCCAATATATACCTGAAACCCAAATTTGATGTAACTGTAGTAGGACTTGTAGCATTTTAAACTGCATAGCCATGTTTAATTAACCTGAAATAGGTTTAATCCACAGTGAAATTTACCTGAATCAACCATAATGTCCTCGTCATTTCCTGTACTGTCTTCGTCCCGGAAAACCACCTGTTTCCCTTGCCTTATGACTGTTCGTTTCCCCAAGTTGACCTCTGTATACTCTGACTTTATGTCGTCTACGTCATCATAAGTAATTCCGGTAGAGGCACTGTCCATGCTGTTGTTGGAATGTTCCAACATGGATTCCTGCATATGATGTTGTGGGGACATCTTGAGGTTCAAAGCGTGTTCTATAACTGGAGGACTCTCTTGTATTGGTGAATCTGGCGGTTCCAATTTAATGAAGGCTTCGATATACTTTTGATCTTGCAGTTCACACTCATGCTCCTTTTTCTTGAGCTTCTTCTTCCTCTTAATTTTGTCTATTTTCTTTCTGTCCAGAAGAAAGTTCCCCAGTTTGGAGCGCTTCATTGCGTTTGAGTAGGTTCGTTCATGCTTGAAGTCACCAAAACTTTTTTGTTTCTTTAAGGGTACAGCATCAGATGATGACAGGTCTGGATACCTAGAGTCCCAGCTATCACTGTCAACAGTACTTCCTGTGCTATTTGGGGGGCTGGAACGTGCTCTTAAAGGGCACTCCTAAATAGAAAAATAAAAACACATGTAAGATGTGTCAAATTGCATGACATTATCCTGCAGCTATATTAAGAAAAAAACATTTGTTCTAAACCATAGATTTTTTAATTCATTTTTTTTTTTTTTTTAAATAGTTTTTCCTCATCAGGAAACTTGAAGCATATCTCAATCACTACTACAGTCATGTGATCAGGAAGCTGGCTAGGGCAGGTGAGTGTATATATATATATATATATATATATATATATATATATATATATATATATATATATATATATATATATATATATATATATATATATATAAAAATTATTTTAAAAATACATTTTAAGTTGAGTATTCCTATTTACTAATTATCTTTTCATTTATAATGCAAAATTATTAAATAAGTAAATATTGCCATTTAATGTACATATAAAAGGATACAAGACTTTTTCGATTAGAATCTATAAACCACCACTTTGAGACTATCAAGTCGCAAAATCAAAGCAAATAAAATAAAATTGCATCTAGTAGGAGCTGCTCAAGTGAGATATTTTGGCTTCCAGACTGGTTTACATTGTTATAAAACTTGTATCATTATGAAAAATTAAAATATAAAAGATTTTAAAAAAAAAACCCCACACAAAACACAAAACAAAAAAAGACCCTTGTCTGCTTCATAATGACAAATCCAATAACACTGCCCCAACTAGGAAGAATGTGAATGGTTTACCACAAGTAAAAAAAAACAAAAACTTCTGATTTGTACATAGTTTGAATTATAAAGACAATATTAGCACAAACCCTTTCTCAATTAAATTACTACAGAAAGTATTGGCAACAATAAGTGTAGTATACATTATTAAAGTGCTGAGCATGGTACAATTACAGGCAATTTCAGTGTGAAAGAAACAATCGCCCACTTATAGTTACTGTGTAGACACATTATTTTCCGATAGGGTCGACACTTTAATTTTGTGGGGTCTGAGGAGGAAAAAAGGTTGAAAACACCACAAGTGAAATAAACTTTTTATTCGTCTTGGTTTAACCATTATATGTAGTTATATATAACTATTATGGTATATATGTTGGCATTATATGTCGCTATATAAACTGCTGTAATTGTAACAGACTGACTCCGTTCTCACAGGGACATGCCTCTAGTGGCGTATTAAACTTAGCAACAAAACACTGACATATCTACTAAATCGCAATGTTTTAGCTTGTAGGGTTAAAACTAAAGGATCACAGCGCACAGACCTCTTCATTGAGAGGAAGTGGTCTGGGTGCTTTAGAGTCTTGACTTTGAGCTTAGAACAGCCAAGTTGGAAATATTGGATCTAATTGATATACTTGGGACATTGTTTCCCTAAATCACCTATTGTGTATTTATTGTTACAAACTCAATTCGTCGAGCTCATCAAAACCCACAGCTTAGTAAATAACTCCCTATGGGGGCAGCACCAAGGTTCAGTCCCCCAGTATGAGCTAATTTACTGTTGGATAACACACACTTAAAGATTTATTTTGAAAAAAAAAACCAAAAAAAAAAAACCACTCATTAGCTTTAAGTCATGCTCTTATCAGAACTGGATATATTAAAGCACTGGTCAAGCAAAACAATCTGAAAAAGAAAAAAAGGCCTGGTTAATTTTAGATGCTTTACCTCTTGCGGGTAGGGTATGTATCCAGCATACGCCAAAACAAACGTACAGAATTTATTGAAATCCTCCACAGTCCTTTGCCTCCTATAATTTGGAGTTCCATCCTGAAAATAGAATACAAACTGATAAACAACACATCGAAAAGAAGAAGGAAAAACCAACAACGGAAAAAAAAAAACCCAACAACTTATCAAGTTGTACCCCTATCAGCACTATGTTCCCCAAATAAATTAAATGCTTCCAATTTGGCAAAGATATACAGGACCAATGAGTCCCCCATTACAGTGGACTTGAAGCCAGAACAGCAGTATTAATAAATGTATGTGCACACCAATTCCTTTAATGTATTGACAAATGATGTATAATAGAAGATGTAACATCCTGCAGCTTTACATGTGAAAGGTTATCAATAACCAGCTTAGGAGTTACTGGCTCCTTACACTATAAACTGCTCTGGCTCGTCCTTCTCTTGGGCTTCATGTTTAAGCTAAAACCCACTTTGCAGTGAATTAAAATGATACTTCACCAGCAGGGCAGACTTTTTCCGCATGGCAAAGGAGCCAATTGCTTTGCATACCCAGCGACTAGGATAATTGTTGGGGGAGGTGAAACAAAGCACACACACACACACAAAAAAAAAAAAAAGTAATAATAGCTTAGTAGAGCAAACATTAATATATGGGGGGAGGGGGAGTAACACTGCAAACAATTAGTTTGATTATTAACAACTAAATGTATTTAAAGGGACAGGCTCCCTTTAGACTGCTGGTATTTTAAAAGTTCTGTATGAGTAGGCAGATCCGTTTTGAATATTGTGTGCCAATTGATTTTGTTTTTATAACACGTTTACATGATTTAGCATGTTTCAAAGTCAGTTGCTGCACATTCTGTTTTGTTCTGATTTTTGTATGCCAACAATCACGGCACAAAAAGGTTTCACAAACATCAAGGCTGCCAAGGCTGGTAGTCTAAAAAGAGTGACATTTGTAGAGCTCTCCCAGTACACTTCATGCAGAGATATTATTTACAATGTAAAGCAATATGTCTTATGGAGGCAGACATTTTGTATCCTTGCAAAGCACAGAACCATGCAGCAGACAACCGACAGCCTAGATCTCTTCTGTTAGCCAACAATTTGGCTTGCCACCCCATTGCTCTGTGAATAATAGGAAGCATAGTCCACATTATTGTGAATGACAAAAGATTAGTCTTTGCAGCACTCAAACGTCTTAAAGAAATATTGTCCTTTTCGGCATCCCCCGTTCCTTGTAAAAGCAGGAGATCAAAATGATCCCTACTACGATAGAGTTTTAAATGCAAAGCAGGTTAATCGCAGGCTCGCTCGCAAGACGGACATGGGGTTGGAAACGTAAAATATATCTGCTCTCTTCCTTTAAACAGGAGTTTCTAAGGGATTCTTCGCAATTACCCTTCTTACCAAACATTGCAGGATGTCAAAATCTCGAAGAATGAGCAAAGCTAGATCAGATTTTAATTATTTTTTTTTTATTCTTTTACGAATTTCGATCTGGGAAGACTATCAAAGATCAAAATAATTTTGAAAAGAAATACAGTAGCCAAAGCAGTCTCCAAATAGCTATTTCTAGGTAGGATGCAACTGAGCCCATTCCACTGAATTCAAGGGGGCATGACAGGAGTGCATTCCTTGCACCCCCTTGGCATGTCTGGCAAAGCATCATGGGTAATAGTTCAACATCCCGAGGTCTCCATTTGTCCCTGATGAAGATTTGTTGTAGTCAATGGATACGAAAAAAAAGAGTTTTTATACAAAAAGGCATTCCTTCTATGTTAATTTTATTTTCATGTTTAGAGCTCCTTCTTAAACTATTACTAAACCAACTGACTTCTCACTGATAGAGCTTTGCGGTTAGATATTCTGTGTTAGAAAATTAACACTTTCGTATAGTTGCTGCTCACAAGCTTTCGGCGGAGACTCTGCAGCTTAGCCTCCGCTCCACTGGTAGAGTGCGTTTACAGGATTTGCAATGCATTGCAGGGGGAGCTTGGAACAATACACAGGAGGTGTGTCTAATCTAAACAAATCATACCAGGCATCTAGCAGAACCTTCAACAAAATGGAGGTATGATTCGAGTAACCCCATCGCTGTCACAGGGGCTCAAAGAGTATTCTACAAACTAGTTGCTGGACGTAACCAATTAGTCCATATAGTGGTCAGACAGGTCCACATTTACACAACAGAAAAGTGGTTAGTTTGATGAATTTACATTTTATAATTTGGCAAACTTCCAAAAACCAAATAAAACTGGCATACAAATAGGTTGGGTATCATGGGAAGAGTAGTTCACAACAGGTATCGTGCTTAAGCCCACTGGTCTAGTACCAGTGGAGCTTGGTGCTGCTGATCTAGTGGCTGGGAGGAGGATGGGCTAACTATGAGATCCAATTCCGAAAAGGAGAGATTTAACTCTTTGAAGATAAGGACATCCTCAAAAAAGCTCCCTAAACAATCTCTTATATAGAACAGTGGTTATCAAACTTTTATTGTGAAATGGAACCTGAATCCCCTATAGTATCCCTTGAGAAACACAGATCTAGAAGGTTAAGAGGTTAAGTCAAATCATTATCTGTTGAGAGCTCTGTCAACTAATCTAAAGCGGTAAATAAGAACCAACAAACGGCACAAGTTTCCTTTTTCATGATAACAGCGGTTTAGCATATCCCTTTATAATAAGAATGAAGGGGCTAATCAAATACCACTGTGCATTTGAACCATCTGCTTTTACTGCTTAAAAGCTAAGTAAAAAAAAAAATTAACATGACAAAGAAGCAAATATGTCATTAACCATGGTCTATGACAAGATCAGTTTTAATCTAGAATTATTGGACTTTAACCCCTTGCATTCCAACAATGTGTGGAGAAACCAAAAGGGCTTAACTAGAGTGAGGTGTGGACGAGGGAAGGAGGAGCATGTGATTGGCAATAACGCCACCATTAAGAGGCACTTCCTTCATTAACAAAGACATACTTAATCCTTTGAGTGCCAGATAATAAATCTAAAAAAAATAAGATACCCATCCAATATATGTCCCCAAAACATTATGTGACGTCACATTTCATGTGTGACTCCCATGATGCATTAACCCTTAAAGCATTCTGACTACTAAACATATCCATCCTATAAAAAGCAGTTTATTAATGCAGAATTCTCACCAATTGCCATTAAATTATATATCTGATGTACAACACATCTTGCTTTTACCAAAATATATATTAAAAGTATACTTTTACACATCCACATAATTTGGACAATTGTGACAAAGACCCAAATGATATACACACAGTATTAGCTTGAAGACATTTCTTAACCCCTTAAGGTCCAGGTCAAATGACATTCCAACCATGTCACGCTACAAAGAAGATTTAACTAACCCCTGCTCATTAATGCATAATTTGATACATTAGCTCACTAAGCCATTTAATTTCAATATAACTAGTAAAATAAATTAAGAAAAAACCCCATCGTTAGTCTAATTCCAGCGTAAAAGAAGTCTTTTTTACTCTAGGGGGATGTCAGTGTCACTACAGAAAATTTATTATGGATAATTGCCCAGGGCCAGAGGAATATAATGTGCATATTACAATCAACAATGACACAGAAAACATAACTGGCTCCCAATACTAACAGCCCCCAATGCAGGGATCGAACCAAAAGGTTGAGACTTAGCTGGGAGAGGATTTAATTTAAAGATATTTGGGTAGGAAATAAGACTAGCTATGGTTCATTTCGGGTGGAACCAAGTGTAGGTGGATTGAAATCTCTTAAATATATATTATATGCATCATGTTTTTCTAGAATTAGAAAATTAACTCTAGAAAATGTGTTTGTGTTGGTTACCCCCCCTCTAAATATAATTCATTTTTAACAAGCAGAGACTGTATTGAAAATCCTTGCTAAAAAGCAAGTTCTCATTAGGTAATCAGTAGGATGGCCATAATGATAAAGCAGTATATTTTGATTATATCTTTGTTGCAGATGGCAACATGTGGCAAGGAGATTGCCTTACGTGTCCCTCCAAACCACCATGGGCCATGCCAAGAATGAATTCTGTTCCATCAAGGCTTCCAAAATGAAAAACCTTAACCGTGGGATTGCCAGAGGGGTGTCTAATTTGTATGGTATTTAAGGAGTTAACCCTAGAGAAATGGTGCAGATACTTCGCAAAGGTGAAGGCTGACCTTGGAATCATAAGGTTTGCTTGTTTAAACTTAAATCCTCCCCCTCAGCACCTTGTACATTTTCAATATTAAAATGTAATCATGCTTTAAATTATATTTTAAGAAACTTATTACTAGTCCCATCACAAAAAAAGAAAATAAATCCGCCATCACGAATCACAATAATCAAAACGAGTCTCGTCAGATGAAAAGTCTGATTAACAGACCCATCCATCCCATTTCTAAAATAATATGTAATGTTTGGACTTTGTGGTTCTTAACAGCCTCTCACTATTTCAACTGTATAAACCACAAAGTTTTTTATAAAAGGATGGGGGTTTGGGGGGCAGAAAAACAACTATAGACCTAGATGCCTAGGACTTCCATATATGATAAGCAGTGGGACTGCAGATTTTAAGAAGACATCCCTAACACTGGTGACACCGCAAAAGGAGAGCCCATGGGAGGAGCGTGTTGTGAGTGACAAGCAGCCCAGCCACAGCCACCACTGCACCCAGCACAGCCAGAGACAGGAGAATGGAAAGCAATGGGACCAAAGACTTGCTCTGCTGGACACACAACAACTTTAACCCAAAAGCACTCCATTATGTTTTTTGAGTGCTATTTAAGTTATATAGGAATAACATGGCAATAGATGTAGCACAACATAAAAGTGGGTGGCTGTGGGATTCCCTGAAAGAAATGACAGCCCTTATTGCAGTGAAATAAGTGCTCTCACTAAAAGATGTACTCTCTTATACCAGGGGTCCCCAATCCAGTCCTCAAGGCACACCAGGGCAGAATCCCCACAGGGACAGAATGGTTAAATGCCTAAATGTTGGACTGCTGGTATGCTTTGAGAACTGGGATGGGACCCACTGGTCTATACACACTGAGCCCTGACCTTTATACCATGTAACCAATCTTGGCTTCACTTCCAGGTATACAACAATACAGTCTGAAGTCAAGATGGAAAATATATATGGGGGGGGGGTTTCTAGGGGGTCCTGCTTGCCCACTCTAACAGCAAGTGCACATGATATTAGGACTGATCAGTGTGAAAGACCCACCAGGGCATAGAAGGGGGCTTCCCCTCCCCCACTACATGACCTAAACACGTTGTAGCTTTTAGCTCTATAGTCCCCTTGACCAACAAAAGCATAATATGAATTCATGCTATGTGTATGGCAAGCATAACAACTAGATTGTTTTTATAATGAATTGTTTAAATGCTAGAAATCTTACAAGGGAAGGGGATCCCCCCCCCTCCCCACCCTCATACACTCTTTTCTCCTTTCTTACTTATAATCCTCCCTGGCTTTACCCCCAGGGGTTAACTGTCCTTCCCCGAAGACATAACCCCCCCCCAGTAGTTAATCAGTGGCCCCTGACAAACAGCCAAGGATAGATATTATATTAGCAATACTAGAGGGAGTGGGTGTAGCCAGCACCATCCGCCTCCCCCATCCATCGCCCTCATTTCGCCATTACTGAAGACACATAAAGGGGGGGCAAAATGTAATTTTAGAATTTTACATGGGGTTCACAGGATCACGAAAATCGTTAAAAACTCTATTTTCAAGAGTGACAATACAGGTCTGATTAGAAACTTCAGGAAGGGGGATGGGGGGTAGAGACACAAAAGATCTCCCACAGCAGCAATGTAAAGTATAGAGCCCCCATAATTTAATAGTGGGGGGTAACAGCAGGCAAGATTAATCAGTATTGTAAAAAGCCTGTTGGTGCTTGGCAGGGGGGAAGCAATGCTTGGCAACTGCTGTGTCAGATGTCTATGGTGTCTAGGGTCTGGATGAAGGGTGCAAACCAGTCATTTATCAGATGAGGTCTCTTTTAAAAGGTGCTGCATTGTTCCTGATATTGGGGTACAGATGCCAGCACTAAATAGCGATTGGGTTTGATGTTGCTGCATACCCTCACAAAAATGGAGAAAGAATTAGAAAGTAGAACTTAGTATTTATTACAGGGACTCTGGGTTTTACTTATCGTATAATGAGGAAAGGGATCCCCCAAATCTTGGACAGGGTAAGCCTTAAAGTCCAGAGTGGGAGCTAGATTCAAGATGGTGATCCATAAGAGGCACCCTCATTTCTTGCTATATACCTAGAGAGGGCAGTTCCTGACAATAGGTCCCCCTCCCCCCAAATCCACCATACATAGGTGCTAGAAGGTCTAAAAATCCACAATTGAGACTGTGTACACCAGACTCTCGGATTTTTAGAGCTACCCCCCAAAAATTACTTTTCCTTTTTTGTTATTTTATCTACAAGGACAAGATGGCGCAAGTTGTAATGGGAAACCGGGCAAACATGGCTAGTCTGGACATATCTGCTAAAATATGGTCTGGCCACCAGTAAGACATAGGAGAGCACCCACATCTAAGCCTGGGAAGGAGGGTGGTGGTGGTGTGGTCACCACTACCCCCCACCCCAAAACAGCACATGGGGTATAATTGTAAGAGGAAGCATAGCAAGATAAAATAAGACATAAAAAAACAACTTACCTCCGAATCAAAAGTTGAAGTAGATGCTGTATCCATTGGTGAAATGTAGATTTTGTGGTTGACAGGGGGAGAAGCTGGGGAGAGGGCAGTGGGTTGGGTGTGGGGTGTCTGGAGGGCTGATCCCCTCCCTTGAAAGTCGATGGAGGTCTGAGGCTTCAGTTCAAAATCACCCTGTGGGAAGGGGTGCGGGGGTCTCTCAAAGGGGCAAGAGAAACGATGTTCCCAATATGGTGGAAAGATCTTGGTCTCAGAAGTGCCTTTTCTTCAACTCTTCTTTACAGGCAGAGCAGGGTGCAGGTCTGCCCTATCCCTGGAGCAACAATCAGCAAGATTACACTGTATCTCTCCTCCACCTTGCAGGGTTCCAGAACCTCTGACCAACCCTCCCCCAACAAAAATGTATAAAATAAAAAAAATCAGATTGTCTCCCCTTCACCCCCCACCAAATCCACAGTCTCTGCTACAGCACCAGAAGGGAAAAGCCAAACAATCCAGCCAAGTACTCCAGCTTTCAATGAATACCTTTTTTCTTTTTCTCTCTCTCTCTCTCTGATTGTTCTGATGTCACTGTCAATTTGCTTTTGTTAATCTAGCCTTCTCGGTAGGATTGGCCAGTCTCAGGAGAAGATAGCCAATGGCTGCCGAGCAAAGGATTCTGGGGATTGGAGTTTTACTATTTACCACCAGGCTGGCGGTGGATACCTTTTTTTTTTTTGTACTCACCAAACTTTATTGCACCATACAATATGCACAAAGATCACAAATGAGTAGCCTTATTATATATTGTTATTTTCGCCCTCACAGTGTTTTTTTTTTTGTTTTGTTAAAGTAATTTTTCCTTCTTTTTTTGTGTGAAATTAATGTCTAAAAAGTAATGTGTTGTTATTATTATACAAAGTTTAGTGCGAATTCCAGCATTACCTACCCCCTCCCTCTTATTACTGACCATACAAATGTACATTAGCCCCTCCTTAACGAACATTACACACCCAGGGGGGTGGACTAAAATAAACATGTCTCATTGAGATGGGTCTGACTCCTACATTATTCTGTGGTGTAATTATGTAGCTGTGAGACGTAATGGGTTTGTTTGTGATCTACGTAGGCACTACTAAAGTTGTTTTACCCGGTGTAGTTCCATAGTAGTGGCATGTAGCAATGTATATTATATTGCATGAAAGCTGTATATATATATATATACATCCACCCATTGTACAGCGCTACGGAATCTGATGGCGCTATATAAATAATAAAATAATAATAATAATGTGCATTGTGCTGCATGGCCTTTGTGAGTGGGTGGTATACATGCCAAGTGCCATGGATCCAGTATGATTGTACTGCATTTGGGATAGTGCCCCCGCTGTCTTAGGTTTACGATCAGGGTCCTCACCTACCTATTGTTCCTGTAACATTTTGTACGTGTCCTATTTATTGTTAAATTTCCACCTTTTATAATATTGTAAAGCATTGCGGAATAAGTTGGCGCTATATATATATATATATATATATATATATATGTAAAAATAATACCTGCATGATGGGAAAGCAGAGCTTAAATACACCGCAAGTGTAGACTTTCATGTGCTACACAAAGTGTGTTCAACCGATGAGACATACTCTGGTCACATGCAGCCCTAAGTGGCACTGGGATGCGCGATGGGCAGTAACAGCAGTTTTACAGACAGGACATGCTCCCTCCCAACACCATCATCACTGACATGGCCTCATACTGGCCTACGCACTCATGTCACGATTTTATCCTTCCCAATGTTGGGAAACATAGATTGGTATTCTTTATTTAAAAAAAAAAAAAAAAGTTTGTTTTTTTAAATGAAAAAAAAAAAGTCTCATGACAAAGACTGGCTGAATTATTTATTTAATTATTATTTGTACATTTATCTCTAACCTTAATGGGGCAAAAGTCCTAACCCTAAGATTGTAAACAGACTGAATGTTGAAATGCATGTTTGGCAATTTAATAGTTTATTAGCGATACCCGTCTCTGCCATTATTTGTCCCTGTGGCCCTAAACACTGCACAAACGAGACAGGCTGAAATTCAGAAGTTTCTGAATAAAGAGCGTGATTTTAAAGTTAAAAAAAAAAAAGGAAGCGATATGGTCTAGGAAGTAAGGAGTCTCCATGTTATGGAGTGAGGGTGTATAGATACTGATTAATTAGTCTCCTTTGGTTTCTGTTAACTTTTTCAGAAGCAACATTGCATTCTAATGAGATTTAATTAAACCTTGTGATGTAGTTAGTAAGGGGGTGCTATACCCCTTGAAAGCTTAGGGTGGGGTGCTATTATATTGTACTGAATTAATCATGCATTTTGTCTTTAATTTTTTGGGGGAAACCTAGGAGACATGTTAAACTGATGGAGGAGGGACACTTGCTGCTGAGGGTTGGACAACACTATTTTAAAGAGACAGTACACTGTTTTTTTTTTTCTTACAGAGAACAGTCGTTCTCAGCAAGTTCTGTGCAACATTTCATATGGAAGTGCTGTCACAGCTGTGTTACCTCACCACTTCCTCATGTCGCACAGGGTTATTCACGAAAGTGTAAGCTTTGGCAGGAAGCTTGTGGCAGTGGAACTGCCCTAAATCAGAAGTCCTCATGGAGCGTAATCGGCCTGTGCAGGTTTCCCCAAGGATGCAACCCCTAGAACTTGAAACACTTTTCAGGGTTTGGTTGACCGTGACAAAAATTAAAAGTATTCTGCACTTGTTCCATTTATTCATCCATAATATACAAACAGCAATAAGAGCGTCAATTCTGAGGCACAAAACCTGCAAGTCCATTGTGTGCAGGGTCTCATAAATGTATTGTCTCCAAACTGAATACTCTGCATTTGTTGGTTAAACTTCCTTCCAACTCTCCCACCCCACTGTTGCTGTTTAGATATAACACTTCCTTCTTCCCATGACGGGGGAGCACATGAGAAGCTGCCTGTTAGAGTAGGATTTCCCTTAGAATAAACATTTGATTGCTGCAAACAGGAATAGAGTGACGATGCAGACCTTGTTGGTGGATAGACAATACACATTAATCGTTATCCATAGTTTCTTATACATCCAGGCCTGATATTAGATACATTCTACCCACATGACCATTATTTGGATAGATCAATAACTTACTCCCTTTGTATGATACCTTTTGTTATTATTATTATTGCCATTTATTTAGTGCCAACAGATTCCGCAGCACTTTACAATATTATAAGAGGGGGGGATTTAATTATAAATGGGAAATTACAAGAAAACTTACAGGAAAGATAGGTTAAAGAGGACCCTGCTCAAACAAGCTTACAATCTATTGATCCAGAATAGATACACAATTTTCCCCTCATTCACCAATTCGAGGTGGGGGATAGACTGGGTTGTAGAGTCACAGATACAGAGAAGGAAAGAATATATTAAATAAATATACAATATGTTTTTTATATCAGACTGGGTCCAGAAAGAATTGTTTTAATTGCTCTCACACAAGAAATGTACCTTCCATCTGCTCTGCTCAAGTGTTCCAGCTTATTCGAGAGACATGAACAATGCTGCATATCTTGTGGGGCAGTCCTTGACTGTTCCATTCTTCAAAGAGGTGCATAGAGTGATTGTGCTCTTAACAAATGTTCCCTAACTCCTTATTTTCTTTACTGGTTCATGCAACTACATGCCCTCCTAAAATATACATAATTACTCTTACTATGTAACTGATAAATGCTGCAAAAAGCTTGATTTCCCAATACCTGGAATAGCCTAGAACATTTTCATTGTGGACCTTGCGAAAGGCAGTGGAAAAGTTTATTATCATAGTCCCATCAGTTGCATGATAGATATTTACAGACATGGTTTTTATTGGTTCTGATTTTTGTAGACAGCAGGTTTTTAACACTAGCATGTCTCCCAACAGTCCTGCATCTGGGGACAACAGGGACCTGAACCAGGGCAGCACAGTGCTATGCAGTGGACACTAGAGTCATGCAGGGAGAATTTCAGCAGATGTTCCCTGCATGGTCCTGCAGTTTGAGGTCCTGCCAGGCCAGGCAACCTGTCAGTGACATCCTGGTCATCGCTAGTGATGTGGGTTGCATCACTGATTATGTCCTCTCTGGGACCTACCTGCCCCATCCCGATTCTCCCTACCCAATTGTTGGGATTTATGGTATGATGATCACCGATACATGCTCCATCCCAGAGATTTACAGCTGCTGTTGGTTGCCCACCTTTTCTTTATATCCTTGTTGTCTTGTTTCTACCTTTTTTATTTCACATGTTCAGTGGCGTACACACAATCCATGGGGCCCCAGTGCGAAACTGATCCGTGGGCCCCACCTACTCCCCCCCACTCCCTCCCCCCAACAGACAAACACAGACACATACATACATAGAGACACACACACACATAGACACATACATACACACACACATACATACAAACAGACAGGCACACATATATACATACAGACAGACAAATACATACAGACTGACACACACACAGACAGGCACACACACAGACACATACATACAAACAGACATATACATACAGATAGACACACACACAAACACATACAGACCTACAGACACACACAGACACAAATAAACAGACACTACACATACATACAAAGACACATACATACAAACAGACAGGCAAACATGCACACAGGCAGACACATACAGACAGACAGACACACACCCATACAGGCATACATACATACAGACACACACACACACACACACAAGACGAACATACATACAAACACACATACATACATACAGGCAGACACACACACACACACAGACATACACACATACAGACACACATACATACAAAGACATACATACAAACAAGCACACATACACACTTACAGACACAGACATACATACATACAGACACATACACACAGACAGACACATACACACATACATACAAACACACACACACAAAATGTTTAATTCACCCTACTGTTTCCTACCTTTTAAGTGCAGGAGGGGGACTTTCCCTGGAGTCCAGTGGTGGCTCAGGTGGATGGAAGTCAGAGTTCCCACTCTGACTCCCTCTGCTACCTCCCAAGGGGGCTCTCAGTGATAGCTGGGAGGAGTGACGTGCGGTCACTTCCTCCCAGCTCTGTGTGATCTTATCACAGGGGGCCCGGTTGCGCTGTTAAAGCGCCCAGCGCTGACTGGGCCCCCTGACAATCCATATCCATTGGGTGACCCTGACAGCATGGGCCACCCAATGGACCCCTTGGACGGCGGCCCTGGGTGTTTGCTGAGCGGGCCGGGGCTGCAAAAGATGTTGGCAGGTACCTGGTCGCAAGGGTCCGCAGGGCGGTCGGGCCCCCTGGAGTGACGGGCCCGGTCGCAGCTGCAACTGCTGCGACAGTGGTATGTACGCCAGTGCACATGTTCTTCAATTTACTGTTTAGTTAATAACCTCTTGGCATGTACTCAGAAGTGCACCAGTGCTAAACGCCATAGTGTAATAGAACTTACATTAGAACATTAATATAAGCCATTAATTACATACTCCATCTTGGGATGCATTGTATAGATCAGGGGTGCCTAAAAAGGTCAGAAGCCTAGATTTTTTTTAAACTACAGCTTCCATGATGTTTTGTCATTCTAAAGGCATGGAAAGCATTATGGGAGTTGTAGTACTACAACATCTGGGGATCTACCTTTTGGGCACTCCTGGTAGATAATGCCTAAAAAAATCAATACATTTTAAAATTTTAATTCTTTTAATGCTGCTGTTGATGTTGGTTATCCAAAGGCAAGCAGCAGCAGAGACTCCAACCAAAATCAGAAAGAGGTTCTACCAATCAGGAACTTATCCCATAAATCTCAATACAATAGAGATTTATGGGATATGTAGTTCTACCCTCGGCTTGTACTCAACAGATCTGAACAGAATGGAACTGCTGAATAAGCTGATAGTAGACAAATCTTGACTGCTATCACTTTATTGGCAGTGCCTTTTACAATTTAACCATTTTTTTTCATTGGCATTCAAGGTTTATTGATGTAGCACATCATAGATAACAACGGTATAATATTATCATTATTACTTATAAAGCGCCAACAAATTCTGCAGTGCTGTACAATACGTCTACCAATAGACGAGTATTCTCAACAAGACAAATTGGAAGCACTGGAACAGAGGGCCCTGCTCAAACAAGCTTACATTCTAGAGGGAGTGGGGTAAAGTGGCACAAGTGGAAAGTATGTAGAAAACAGCAGGGTGATGTATAATGCAAATAGCAATTAAAGCAAGTTGCAACAATATGGTATACTATGATTTAAAGAAGAAGATAGTTTGAGGGAATAAGATAAGTATAAAAAAAACCTATTCACTGGCGTACTAAGGGAGAGGCGGTCTGTCCCGAGTGCCACTCACTAGTGGGGTGCCATGACCAGGGCGGCCTTAGGATGTGTGAGTTGTGCGGTCGCACAGTTTACACACACAGGGAACCGCAAACTTGAAAACTGTCACGGCTCCCGGCTCGCCGCATGGCGCGTCTGTGCCCGACCAGCATGACCGCGCCGACAAGCTGGGCTTACAAGCTTGGCGGCGAGCCGGGAACTGCTCCTCCGCGTTTTCTGGGCACTGTGCCCAAAACACAGATGGCGCCGACCATGCGGTCGCGCCCATCAATGGCTCCGCCCCCCAGGGTTATAGGAACGTGCGTGTGAAGTCACGGCGCCAACGCACACGCACGTTCTTGGGTCAGAGGTCACCCTCTGACCAATCACAGCCTAGAGAGGGATATTTAAATCCCTGATTCACCCCAGTACCTTGCCCTGTCGTGTTTTCCGAGAGTGCATTTATCTTTGCTGTTATTGTGATTTCCAGTATTTTGACCTTGGCTATTCCTGACTACGCTGATTTCTGGTTCCCCTGTCTTGGCTTGTTAAACGGTATTTGTGTATTTCTGGCTTCCTTGACCTCGGCTATCCCTTGACCATTTTCTGTCTCTAACGTATTAGTCCGGCCATTCTAAGGACCGATTTACGTTCTATCATTTTTATTTCCTTTCTATTTTCTTTGTAGATGTTACATAGTTCTGCGTGTTGAGACAAAAACCTGTCACATTTGAGAAAAATGGGGGCAGGGAGAAAACCAGCAGCGGGAGTGGGGCTAAACACGGCCTCCACACGCTGCTGTTACTGCTACACAATGAGTGGAAGCTGGAGTCGCTGCTTCCCCAACTAACAGACTCCAGGGACTAAAGTTTATCCACTCCTCCTACAGCCCATACGGTCAGTAAGTAAGAGAGAGAGAAAGTGTGTGTGTGTGTGTATGACTGTGTCTGTGTGTGACTGCCTGCCTGTAACTCTGTGTGTGTGTGTGTGTGACTGTCCACTTGTGACTGTGTATATGTGTGACTGCTTGTAATTATGTGTGTGTGTGACTGTCCACCTGTGACTGTGTGTATGTGTGACTACCTGTAACTATGTGTGTGTGTGTGACTGTCTGCCTTTGACTGTGTAACTGCCTGCCTATAACTATGTGTGTGTGTGACTGTCTGCCTGTGACTGTGCATGTGTGTGTGAGACTGTCTGCCTGTGACTGTGTTTGTGTGTGTGACTGTGTGTGTGACTGCCTGCCTGTAACTCTGTGTGTGTGACTGTCTTCCTGTGACTGTGTGTGTGTATGTGTGACTGCCTGTAACTGTGTGTGTGTGTGTGAGACTATCTGCCTGTGACTGTGTGTGTGTGACTGCCTGCCTGTAACTCTGTGTGTGTGTGACTGTCCACTTGTGACTGTGTATATGTGTGACTGCTTGTAACTATGTGTGTGTGTGACTGTCCACCTGTGACTGTGTGTATGTGTGACTACCTGTAACTATGTGTGTGTGTGACTGTCTGCCTTTGACTGTGTAACTGCCTGCCTATAACTATGTGTGTGTGTGACTGTCTGCCTGTGACTGTGCGTGTGTGTGTGAGACTGTCTGCCTGTGACTGTGTTTGTGTGTGTGTGACTGTGTGTATGACTGCCTGCCTGTAACTCTGTGTGTGTGACTGTCTTCCTGTGACTGTGTGTGTGTATGTGTGACTGCCTGTAACTGTGTGTGTGTGTGCGAGACTATCTGCCTGTGACTGTGTGTGTGTGACTGCCTGCCTGTAACTGTGTGTGTGTGTGACTGACTGCCTGTGACTCTGTGTGTGACAGTGTGCCTGTGAGTGTGTGTGTATGTGTGTAACTGTCTACATGTGACTATGTGTTTGGAACTGTCTGCCTGTGATTGGAGGATGCTGCCTGTAACTTTGTGTGAATATCTGCCTGTGACTGTGTGTTTGTGACTTTCTGCCTGTAATTGTATGTGTGACTGTCTATAACTGTTTGTGTGACTGTCTGTAATGGTCGCGCCCAGGGGGTTAGGGAATTGCCAAAGTCACGAATTTTGGAAGTGCCGAACCGAACCAAATTTTTGGCCCATGCACATCCCTACTGGACTCTGAAGACTGTTGCTAATATTGTTGTGTAAAAAATTTTATTCTATTGTAAGGGGCTGAGCAGGGACTTTAGATAGAGAGGCAGTTTTATTTGGGAAGGAGGGGTGCAGGAGTTTTATGGAAGGGGGTGCAGAGGTTTGTAGAAGGGGACAGGGATTTTGTTTAAGGGGGGCTGAGCAGTGGATTTGTGGAAGTGGGTGAAGGGTTCTTTTTAGAATGGGGGCAGGACATGCGTTTTGTAGAACAGTGGGCAGGAGAGGGTTTTTGTAGAAGGGGGAAGGATAGAGAGAGTTTTATCAAAAGGTACACATTTGTGCAATTTTTTAAAATGAAAACATTAAAAATATTGCGGTTGTATTTTAAATGGGGAGAAGCCCAACAATTGGAAATTTAATTTGAATTCACTTTGAATTTTCAATTCAGTGAATAAATCTCTGTATACCATCACATGAAAAATAATGAAAATAAATAATAGGGAATACCACCTCCCCCCTAACATCTCTGATAAGACATTACAAGGTATATTTGCTATTAAAAAATTATTATAAAAAACAACAAACAAAACAAAAAAAGTGTGTATTTTTATTTAAAAATAACAAACAAACGAATTTACTGAGCTGCTGGGGTTAATTTAAATAATTGCAGAGATTATGCATACCTAACCCCACCTTTAGTGTCAAATAAGGAGTGACACATATAATTTTAAATGAACACAGCACT